TTTTTTGTTTTATTTCTTGTCATTATTGCAACCTTTTACATTTTTATATGTAAATAACCAATAAATTTAACAATTTAACAATTGTTTTTCATAAAAAACCCTTGAAAAAAAAATCTATACACCGCAGTAAAGCAGCCGCATAGTAAAACATTCTATGTAATTAACTTCAGCAAAGAACGGACAACAATAATGACAATGTCATCATTAACAACAACAAAAACTTCGGCAAAACTATCTGCCTATCTGCAATATTTACTACAAAACGAAGAAAACAACAACTACTACTACTGCTATTACTACTGCAGTAGCAGCAGTAGCAGCAGTAGCAGCAGCAACAACAACAACATCATCATAGAACAAGCATAAACAACACTAACGGCAACAATTTTCACAACAACTAAAGCAATTTTATCATAAAAAATATTTTTCGGCCATCTAGTTAACATCGACAACGACATAGTCAAATTGTCAAATTTATCCCGTCAACATGAATCACAACAATAACAACAACAACAACAACAACAACCATTATTACATTAGCAACCTCTCAGCAGACAACAACATCATCAACAACAACAACATTCTAAACAACAACGCAAACTTTCTAAACAACAACACCGGCTTCACAATCGTCGACAGCAGTAGTAGTAACAGCAGCAGCAACGACACCAGCTTCATCAACCTGCCGGATTGTATGAAACTGGAGAAAAGTTTTTTCGCAACGACGGTTAAGTCGTACATCTACCCGCCAGTAATAATCATAACCATCATCACAAACATCATCATCTGCATCATTCTGATGAAGAAAAGCATGAGGAACCCAACTAACACAATCCTTGTCTGCATGGCTATTTCAGATATGTTGACTGGTTGGTTGGTTGGTTGGCTGGTTGTTTGGTTGGTTGGTTGGTTGGTTAGTTTGTTGGTTGGTTGGTTGGTTGGTTAGTTGGTTGGTTGGTTGGTTTGTTGGTTGGTTGGTTGGTTGGTTGGTTGATTGGTTGGTTGGTTGGTTGGTTTGTTGGTTGGTTGGCTGGTTGGTTTGTTGGTTGGTTGGCTGTTTGGTTGGTTGGTTGGTTGGTTGGCTGTTTGGTTGGTTGGTTGGTTGGTTGGTTTGTTGGTTGGTTGGCTGGTTGGTTGGTTGGTTGATTGGTTAGTTGGTTGGTTTGTTGGTTGGTTGGCTGGTTGGTTGGTTGGTTGATTGGTTGGTTGAATGATTGGCTGGTTGGTTGGTTGGCTGGCTGGTTGGTTGGTTGGCTGGATGATTGACTGGTTGGTTAGATGGTTGGATGGTTGGTAGGTCAGACAGTTGATTTGTTGGACTGTTCATCAGCTCGTCTAACAAAAGAAAAAACGAACGTTTATATGAGTAAATGAAAAACTGAAAAAAGTAAAAAAAAACAAATGAATGATCTATATAANGAACAAACAAACAAAATAAACAAACAACTAACCATCCAACCAAACAACCAACCAATCAAACAACCAACCAAACAACCAATCAAACAACCAACCAAACAACCAAGCAACAACAACCAACCAACAATCCAACAGGTTTAACAGCTCTACCGATGTACATACGTTTCTACATAATCTACTTGGGTGACTACATTCCATACCATCTCTGCTACCACTACATCTACCTCATCAACTTCATGCCGACCATCTTCCATACGGCCAGTGTCTGGCTGACCGTCACCTTGGCTATCCATCGGTGCGTGATGATGATGATGAGTACAGTGAATTTTGGTAATGGTCATGATGAAGAAGAAGAAGATGATGATGATGATGATGATGATGATGATGATGATGATGATGATGAGGTTGTTGTGTGGTGGTTGGTAATGGTCATGATGATGAAGAAGATGATGATGATTACGGTGGTGGTGGTGGTGATGTTGAGTATGGGGAATTTTGGTAATGGTAATGATGAAGAAGATGATGATATGATCACATCATCAGATTATGGTGGTTGTGGTGATGATGATGATGTGTATGGTGAATTTTAGCAATGGCGATGATGATGAAGAAGATGATGATGATTATGATGGTGGTGATGATGATGATGATGTGTATGGTGAATTTTAGCAATGGCGATGATGATGAAGAAGATGATGATGATGATGTGTACGGTAAATTTCGGTATTGGCGAAGATGATGAAGAAGATGATGATGATTACGGTGGTGGTGATGATGATGAGGCGTATGATGAACTTTGGTAGTGATGATGATGATGATGTTGTCGCCTGTGATGGTGATGATGATGATGGCGTTTACTTGTTGAATGCCATTTTGGGTTTTAACTTGTTTAAATGCACGTACAGACACCTAAGTATTTGCATATACAAACATAGATACACACGCACACATACACACACACATACACATGCATACACATACAAACAGACATACAAACACACAAATTTATGCGCATATACAGACGCATAAAAAGACCATAAATGTGCGTAGGGTGAGGTAAAATGAAGAAAACAAGGGTGATACATAGCAAACATAACAAACATACATACATGCATGCATACATACATACATACATACATACATACATACATACATACATACATACATACATACATACATACATACATACATACATACATACATACATACATACATACATACATACATATATATATACACACACACATACACATACATACGTACCATCCCATAACTTAGCAGTAATTGTATCAACAACAACAACAGCAACAACAACAACAACACGACAACAAGTCATTTACGTACAACACATTATGGATTGATGGTCGAATTAATTTTCTGATCGAAAATATTGTACCCGGCTTATAAAAATGTTTTTCATTATATTTCCCATTGTTCTTCATAATTTAGCTCAGAAATAGAAACAAATACACGCTCGCACACGTACACACACGCACACACACGCAAGCTTATAATAATTATTTTTAACTTATTTTAAATATCAGATAAACCTAATTTTCAATTTTTATTCAGTATGAAATACAAGCATTGAAAAAACATTTCAATCTTTGAGATTTGGGAGAATCTGAACGGGCTCACTACCGCGGGCCCTTCTCAAAAAAGATGAAAATATTTTCAATTTTTTTCCTCAAGTCATATTTTTCCGCGTTTTCAACTACTTTACCCGCCAGAAACTCTGGTAAAAATTTGGAAAAATCATACAAAATTGTCAATATTTTAAAAACTATTTTTTTAAATCATACAAAATTGTCAATATTTTAAAGAAAAATTTTTCAAAAAAATCATACAAAATGTCAATATTTTAAAAACTAATTTTTTTTTTAAAAACTAGCAAAAACCGTCAGGCGTCATTGCGCCTTTGTTGCCAAAATGCCTTCACACCTCCAAATTCGGCTCTGACTTTCTTGATTGAAAAAAGATTGTGGGTTTCTAAATCTTTACTGGCTGGAAAAAAATAAATACGATCCGTTACTATCGTAATAATTTTTGCTATCATTTTGTGACAATAACACTCTCAAATCTGGCCCTGTTTGCATCCACCCTCCTATCTTTTTTGTATTATACTTTGCCAGGTACATCAGTGTTTGCCACCCACAGGCTGCCAAGAGGCTGTGTAGTAGGGGTAACACAAGGCTCTCCATCATCATTGTTTATTTGCTTTCCATTGCTTCTCAAATGACAAGGTACTGTTGTTGTTGTTGTTGCTGCTGCTGCTGCTGTTGTTGTTGTTGTTGCTGCTGTTGATGTAGCTGTGAATATTATTATTATTGTGTCGCATTGCATTGTGTTGTAGACTTGTAAAACGCCTGTAATGATGGTAATTGTGATATTCCGAAAGATGATGAAGATGATAATGATGATGAAGATGATGACGACGATGACGATGATGATGATGAAGATGACAGTTTTTTTGTGAAGTCTTACAGCGAGCGTTCCGGCGAAAAATTTGTATCCATTTCGTCGTTAATCCATCCGATCCGTACAACGATAAAACTTCTGGTGGCTTAACTGGAGAGATTGCTGATGGTCCTGTTTTGTTGATGGTGATGATGCTGATGATGATGATGATGACGACGATGTTGTTGATGATGATGATGATGACGACGATGTTGTTGATGATGACGACGACGACGATGATGACGCTGATGATAGTGTTGATCAGTACGATAAAACTTGTCTCACTAAGATTCTTCGAAAGTTCCTACCTACCTGCAATCGTCATTGAGACGTCAGACCAACTGCTCTACCACAACCAGTTGCAGCTTCAACAGCATCTGCATCACCAACGACAGGATGAACTGTACCAACAACAACAACAGAACGAACTGTACAAACAACAACATTTACAACAGTACCAACAACAACAACAGAACGAACTGTACCAACAACAACAATTACAACAGTACCAACAACAAATACAACAGAGCCCACGGGTACAACCGTACTCACAATTACAATATTACCAACAACAGCACCAACAACAGCACCAACAGCAAAGTTATGGGCACATTCGCCAAAAACGAATAAAAGAATTTTCTGAAAACTTTGAAGCCGATAAATTCTACGTTAATGTTCATTCCCTTGTGGTTAACATCAATGGTAGTGACCCTGAATTTAATAGCACCTACCCTGACATTAAAAACCACAGTTCGATTGAAAATTTTATTAACAGTAGCAATTTTATCCGCAACTTTAGCAAAATTGGCAAAGAAAATATAGAGGAAAAAATATACAACATTGATAATGACGATGGTTATTTGACTGAGTTTTGCATCAGCCAACAAACATTCATGCATTTGAAGCAGAATTTAAAACAACATCTACAACTATCATCTCCTTCATTGTCGTTGTCCTCATCGCCATCATTTTCACAAACAACAGCATCATCATCCAACCCCACATCGCCACCAACCTCCGAATCTTCAGACGCAACTACAACCGCCTCAACAACGACACTAGAACTAATCGCCGATAGACAGTTCATAGGCTGTCTAGAGCAGCAACGAGACTTCGCAACCGCCTAC